TTTCTAACTTCCAGCTACTGTATAATGGCGTATTGGCAGCGTTTTGGTATAAAGGGGGTTCACAGGAGGAAACCGTCAGTTCTCCTCCAGACTTCATCCCCATCATAGGGAGAGCCAGAAGGGGAGGGTGATGGATCCTCCCTGCGTTCACGCCCACCACCAACAACATCTTTATTTCTTTTTTTGGCGGCCGGTAAACAGCAGCTAGGTTAATATCGGGATCAAATACATTTTTTTTTTTCTCCGGGCGCATCGCTGCCCCTCTCAAGACACTGGCTTGTGCATCATTTCATGGTCATTATGCTTCCGTTCGTTATGCAGAAGTTAGGCCGTCGTTGGACAGAAGTTCTGGACTCATTATAAATACTCTATCTATACGCCAAAAATAGAAATAGAAAAGATCCATAGAAAGTTCAGCATATGGCAGCGTTTTAGGAGATTCTGGGATGTCAGACAGATGCTGGATAAATCAGCACGGTGTGAAAGGAACCTTAGTGGGAACCAGTCAAGGACCCATCATGAAACCAGGGGAACTTTTGTTCATTGAATGTTTGGACTTCCATGGCTTTCTGTTTGCTGGGATTTTCTACGAGGCAGATTAAGCTTTGATCTGCAGGAAACTGCTGACCTGACAGAATCCACCCAAGTCTTTAAAACTCATGGTAAACCAAAGTCAGTTCTGGAAATCAACACCACAGATCCTGGAAAAGCTGCATAAAGTCCTGTGTGACGTTTCCAGTCTGCTGCCTGTTGATCCACTTTGTTTTATCAACTCCAAAGAGGAACAACTCTGCAATAGCTTAGATGTAGTGAAGCTAAAGGTTTTATATGTTCTATCTAAAACCCAGGAATTTCCCCTGATTTCTTTTTAAATGAGATTGCATTATAAAATGTTGACATTCTATGTAGACTGGTCTACTGAATGAAGGTTAGAACATCTGTCTGGGATCGTTGGATGGATTTGGGGGTTTGTTGTTTTCTTGAACCTTCAGTGACGTCTACGGTTCAATCAGGTGAAAGTATTTTCTCCATCTTTGCAGATGCAGGAGCTGAAACCGATTCATGGCGCTACAAACTCAAGGAGGAAGACTACTGCGGGGTGCAGTAGTCAGTCTAAAACTACACTTCCTAATGTCTTTTAATGTTTAATTGTTAATAAAAATGCTAACTAGCAGCTTGAGTCATTTCTGAAAACCCAGCCTTAAGGAAGAATGATCCGCTGTGACTCGGCAGCCATACTTGTTCAGTTCAGTAGAAAACGTGTTCATAGTTCCACCAATTCAAGTTTTTTTTCTTTTTGCAGTTTTAAAATTTAGTCTTAAAACTAGACAACATCATTGAGTAAATCTGGCAAATGTTCTACAGAAATGATTTCTATGGTCTAGATGTTATAAATGGCTCCGTTTCTTTTCCGCTTTGTGTCTTATCCCAGCTCAGGCTGCCATTACGTTTTTACTTTTCTTAGCAATAAAGAGAACTTTTGGTGCTTCTTTACTGCTTTTGTGTTTCTGCTCCATCTTCCCAAATCTGTTCTGGATTCAAGCGGCGGCCGGTTCTGCTGTTAAAGGGAAGTTTACGTTGCTGCTCCTTCCACTTTCAGTTTGTGATTCCTGCAGAGTCATCAGCTCCATACCAGGGCCTTATCCACTGCTGCTATGTGCTCTGCAAGAAGCGACTGCAGCAAGTCGCTCACTAGATGCAGTCTGCTCACTTTATTCAGACGTTTCTTCACCAGTTTGAACGATACAACTAATTTCATGCTGAGTTTTATTACTGAGACCTGCTTTGAATTTAACAACAGCAACAGTTTGAATCAGTTTTTGAGTGTCTTGATGTGCATATGAATAAATTAAATTGAAGCTCCATGGTCTCCTTTTTGACAGTTTGATAATTTAATAGAAAAATGTGTGAAAGGGGGATCAGGTTTATCTAACTATTTCATTAGGTAAATGATTACGTTCAAGATTACAGCAATACAGTTTCCCCTTAAAGGTATAATGGAGGATTTTCTCGAAATTTGAAAAGACACGCCCTCTCTACTTAAAAAAAAAATAAAAAAAATGCAGAAGCCTAGAGGGAACACCTATTAAATGCGTGTGAGCGTGCATGAGCCTATTTCTCCTTGTGTACAATGTGTTTAAAAGTTTCTGTCTGCATCCCTCATACAAGCTAACTTATAGAAAGGTGATTAGCTGTTTTTCCAACATGTCAGACTCACCACCGGTAAGAAATAATGGAGACGAGCACGAAGGATGTCGCCATATCACCACAATGGTTGACAGGGGGACCACAGATTTTGATGATCCATGCGGAAAAACATCCTGAACTTTACCTTTAGTTAGAAAAACAAATCAATGCAGACCTAAAGGCTGTACTGAATACTTACAGCTTAAATGAGTAAAGATTGCAATACACATCCAATAAATGGGTTAATATTAAACTTAGGTTGCATCATTCATTTATTATTATTTTTTTAAGCATTGATAGCCTGGTCAACATAGTCTATTAACCTAAAATAATGTGCATGGTCTGGCTGTTACATGTCAGGCACACCGGTCATTGACTTTGACAGTCATATCATCCCTGGACTGGCATGGCTATCACTGCCCCTACACAGTTAGCATAGCTATCACTTCCCCTACACAGTTAGCATAGCTATCACTTCCCCTACATAGTTATATATATGTATATTATTCTGTGGGTCAAAGGGCACAATTGGCACATTTGGAGAGGTTTGGAGACGCTGGTGACACCAAAAGTTCAAAGTCCCACAGCTCTGGAACTGTTGTAGGTAGAAGTCTGAAAGTTTCTGCATTTGTGGTTGACATGATGTAGAACAAACGTAAAACAATGAGACATGCCTATTCACAAGCATGTCTTTATTACTGCTGTTCAAAAAAGACCTATAACTTTTGAGAATGAAAAACAAGTTTAAGTCATGTTTGAACTGATTCAGCTTAAACTGCGCCTTTGTCACACTATTTTCATTAATGTTTCAACTAACATAGAAAGTGTTAGCTTTTAAATGATGTATCGGTCATGTTAGTTGGGCTTACCTACTTGCTTTGGGATTACTTAAGTCAGGTAGATTTTAAGAGGTTAAAGATATTTCATCCCAGCGCTAAGTGTCCAGAGCCTGTGACATCATCAATGACCCCTCACCCCCCCACCATGGACTGTTCTCCCTGCTGCCCTCTGGGAGGAGGCTTCACAGCATCTAATGCAGGACCAGCAGGTTCTGCAACAGCTTATTGCAAACAAAGAACTTACAAGAACAACATTTACACACAGATGCAACATCAAAGGGCTTTACAGAATATAGAGCAATTATTTTATAATATCAAAATCAAATCTGTGATTGAGGGTTGCAGTTCTTTAAGGATTCTATATAGATATTAACAGAAGATAATAAAATCTGGAAATGTGTTTTTTGTTGTAAATATTTGGAGGTGTGAATTTATTAACCATAAATAATAAAAACAAGTTAACAACATATACAGATTTTATACAGTATACATGTCAGATTAAATAATACTACTTATACTCCAGCAATAGTATCTAGGTGTTACTTTATTGCATCTCCTATACTATATCCGTTGGTTGTGCTTTTTACATCTCTTTGCAGGTGATGAAGCAGACTGAAAATGTTTTATCATTATCTCCCTTTTATCTCCTCTTTCTTTCATCTTTTCTGTTTTTCCTTTCCTGTTTTACTCTCATCGCAGTGTCCATATAATCTGTAATACTTCTGCATGAATTATAATAAAGCTATTTATATGCATAAATCAATTCAATTCAGTTTATTTCTATAGCGCCAAATTCACAACACATGTCATCTCAAGGCACTTTACAGTTCAACCAGATCATACA